GGAAAACACAAGAGTTTTTCAAGCCAATCAACGTTAATGAAAAATAAAGAACAATTGAATGATTAATTCAACGGTTTAACTTTGTATACAACGCACCTAAATTAATAATTTACTTTAAACAAAATTGTTAATATTCCTTCACTATAATATATTTAGAATACCAAGTGCTCAAATTTAGTACCTCGCTGACGCAATTTATCAGATGACTTCATTGTACATAAACTGGTGTGTACGTTTTAAAATTTTCTTTAGTTAGAGGAAGAGACCCACATTTGAGATGACTTTTTATTGAAAATTCGAAAAATAAAATACATTACTCAACTTTGTTTTGTTATTATTTGTTTTTACAGTACTCGGTTAGTGTATTAACAAAACGTTGTGCCATATAAAACTACATAAAAAAAGCAATTTTAGAAAAAATATTGAACTTACAGTTAACTTTCTGCAAATTTGCCCTCTATAAAAAAAGATGGTGGCCTAATTTTGAGACAGACTGGCGTCTTAATTTGATATAGGACATACTACTCAAAAAAACCTTTCCTTTTCGCAAAAAGAACACACATAACAGCTGCTACCATTGCACGAGGGTTCCATTGTTTATGTTTCTTTGCCATCTGCAACCGAAAAATGAAAAACACGAAGTTATTGTTTGGGTGCCTAATTTGAGATACTCTCAAATACGGACACCATTTGGTATCTCAAATTAGGAACTTTCAGTATTACAAATTGACAACAACATTTTAGGTTAGTTATAGAAGAATATTGCCGTATTTCTATGTGACATCATTAAACAACACCTATACTAACTACTACTACACATAATATATTTTTTGTGCAATTGGACGCGAAACAACATCTTCGCGTTCGCCATGGCGGCCGCGAAATTCACTTTCGCGGCCGCTGTCATAGCGACGGCCGTTAAAGTAAGACAATGTCACATATATTTTGACAATCAGCATGTAGGTAATTACAAATCTTTTGGATAAATGTTAATATTAATCGTACAGTTCGTATTGTTACTTATACTTACTCCTGAAATAAAGTCTAAAGTGTTAGAAGCGTTATACTTTGAAACTGTAACATTTTGATTTTCATTAGAACTCAAACTGACAGGTACACTTGAAGTCCTTGTAGCATTTTTCGTACTGCCGCTTCGATTTTTCAGGTACTAACTCATAACTGCAACACAGCAGAATTCGCAACAAGTTTTATTTCCGGAGGAGTTCCGTATATCGAAGAATCACTTTCGGAGTCACACATTTTGACTTTTCTTTCACGAAAAATTATTCATTGTTTATCTCATTTCCATGGTAAAATGAAAACTGGCCGTCTTTCTATTTGCGACGAAAATTATTATTTTTGAAATCTCATTTTTATTTATTGACGATTCTACGCAATTGCACAAAAAATGTTGTATACCACGGCCGCGTCATTCTTTAACGCCCTCAAAGTTTCCTTGCCTCGGCCGCAAGCGGCCTCGGCGCCAATCTTCTTTTCGGTACGTTAAAGAATGACTTCGCGTCCTAAGTATACAAATAACTAT